GTTTGGATTTTATCTATCGCTTCGGCGTCTCCTTGTCTTATACTAAGTTATGCGGCATAGCTGGTACCACACATTGTGACTTAGACAATATATGTATATTAGAAACTCTCGATTGGTTTAAAGAAAATAAAACGTATAATGACGGAACGAGTACTGGAAAAATACAGAACAGTTATACATAAATACATGGACTTCTCCGCGTGAGTAACAGACAAGTACATGGACAGCATAATGTTCACGCACGAGTAACGGGCAAACATTCTTTTCTTCAATCATTCGCCTAACACGCGGTCAATGTCTGGTTGACCCGGTAAATGTCATGTAGTGTTTCGGTCACACACACCAGGTCTACCAGACATCACCAGCTATGAACTAGTACTTCAATCTTAGAAATGGCGCACGAAATCCGCACATTTTGATTCAATGGCGATGGATTTACGCTGCATCAGCAAAAAAGGCTATATCGCGGAGTACATGTTTTTGAATGAACTGTTTTTTGTAATGGGCCGTATATTGATTGATTGTTTTGATGTTTAACGTCTAATCGCAAATAATGCATGCATTATCAGGTCATGATCAAGCCAGATAAAGAATTATTTAGAAAAAGGAAAAATAAAAAAAACGGAAATTGGATGTAAAGTTAACGATAGAAGGTTCAAACATAAGTCCAATTGGAATGTCAAAAGATTTTAAAAACTTTAAAAATACCTCTTGTTTCCTGGCTGTCTGTAATCTCTATCCCTTTGGAATCACATATTTTGAAAGTTTCGTCTGTATTTAGGATTTCTTTTATTGATTGGTTAATATCTTTCACTCCCATGTTTTCCAAAATGTTAACATGCACTGAAGCTGGAAAACAAAGGAAATAGCAAAGTAGACATTCGTAAAATAAACAAGAGGCTCTCAAGAGCCTGAATCGCTCACCTGTTATTTTTTTTTTTTGCTTTAATCTTTCCTCAATGATTTTTTTTTTGCTTTTCAATATATATTAATGAGTGGCTTAAAAATGCCATTTAAATGTTCATATTTTCTATAAAAAAGCAAATAAATCCTTTTTACCCATATGTTCCATTTTAGCCATAGTGTCTATGTTTCTTGACGTACAAGGAAATAAAATACAAAATTTATACAAGATTCATTTTTAAAGTTAAAAAACATAAACAACTTGTGTAAAATTGTCCTTATAGGGAAATACCTCATAAAGGGGTCAATTGACAATTTTGGTCCTGTTAAACCTTTTTGTAGATCTTACCTTACTGAACATTTTTGCTGTTTACAGTTTATTTTTATCTTCAATAATATTCAAGATAATAACTAAAAACTGCAAAATTTCCTTAAAACTACCAATTTAGTGGCAGCAACCCAACAATGGGTTGTTAATTTTGTCTGAAAATTTCAGGGCTGATAGATCTTGACCAACTGAACAATTTTACTCCATGTCAGATTTGCTCTCAAAGCTTTAGTTTTGAGATATAAGCCAAAAACTGCATTTGACCCCTATGTTCTATTTTTAGCCATGGCGGCCATGTTTGTCAATGGATCAAAACTTCGGATACAATTTATAAACTAGATACCCTAAGGAACATTTAGTTAAAGTTTGAAGGTATTTGGCCTAGTAGTTTCAGAGAAGAAGATTTTTTAAATAGTTTACGACGACAGACAACGACAGACGAAGACGACGACGACAGAGGACGGACGCCAAGTGATGGAATAAGCTCACATGGGGCCCTTCAGGCTTTGGTGAGCTAAAAATGAAGACAAAGCAAACATAGTATTCGAAAACAGAATTTCATATTTAAATTATTCATCTATAATGTTAATGATCCTAAAATGGAAAGGGGAAGTCCGTCTTATGTTGAAAGTTTCGAGTGGATTTAAAAAGAAAAATGTCGAATATAAAAAAGTGCTTCAAAGAAAAATACTTCTTGTGGATAATAACCCTCATGAGCAATACATTACTGGAAAACAAACGAATCAATGAAAGAAAGATTTATTTAGATACACATAACCTTTTGTATAAATTTAATGAATCATGGATAACACCTGCATTCCTGACTTGGTACAGGCACTTTTTGGGAAAATGGTGGATTTTACCTAGTTTTATAGGTAGCTTAACCTCTCACTTGTAGGTCAGTCGCATAAAATTCCTTTTAAAGTGTACATTTTGATACTTACTGTACACATTGAGCTCCCCATCATTAAGATACGCAACAAGTATGTGTTTGCGTAGGCTTTTTGTCCTACGTGTATTTACAGGGTGCTGAAAAGCAGTCTGTGGCCTAAATGAAGAAGAGGGCCCAGCTTGATCAGATCCAGCAGACAATACAGTGGAGGGAAAATGGGAAGCTCCAAAATTTGGGAACTCTGTTGCCACGAGGGGTGTGCACCACACGGCAAAAGACCCTTTGTCCCGCTTGCTGTTAACAGGAAACATTTCAAGATTCGAAAAATAGGTTTCTCGGCTCATATCATCCTCCAGGTAAAGACCATCTGGTTTTACCTGAATATATAACTGTTTAAAATATAACTTTTCGCTCAACCAAAGTCCAGAACTTTTTTACACTAAAATGAAATATCTTAATTTCAAGGCCCATGCTAAAGACGCAAATACTAACCCCTGAAGATTTCATATTTTTAAGCGGAATTTCCGCAAAATTATACAATATTGACATTGTTTTTTAAAAGAATAAATGCAAATTTTGATAAATGGTTTTTGAATAAAAATTGTCCGCCAACATGAACGAAACACAGAACGGTACATTCTATTTTCCAGAGGTAGCGAAAGCGGAAATTTTGGATAAGGATTTCTTATAATTATATAGAAATCCTTATCCAATATTACCGCTTTCTCTACCTATGGAAAATAGAATATACCGTATTATATATTTTATTCAGATTTAGTAACATGTGCATGTGCTTTGGCGATTTCTTGTCCAAGGTGTGTAACGGAAACTTTTGTTTGCATGTACAAAGGCTATAAATCAATCTATGGGGGATGCAATTTGGAGGTGAAACATTTTTCACATTCCCCTACCCTCCCTTCCCGCTATTTCATGTTCCCTTAGCATAACCCTTTCCAAAACTGAAATATATATACCATAAGCATTGGAACAAGGGAAACCATTGATTTTGCCCATTTCCACTTTCTATTTTTCCACTGCCATTGTCATAAATTATGCATTTACTTCATTGACTACCCCAATGTGGAGGACTTTGTATTGATAAATTATCAATTGAAGGAATTACAGTGGGAATAAGTCTGAAATTTTGTTATTTCTTATTCTAAATCGTCTCATTTTCTGTATAGCCATAGGAAGTCATTTTATATATACCCCCCTTGAAAGTAATTTTAAAATTGCACAAGAAACAATAATCACCTGGAAATTGGCTGATATTCTCTGTGTATTTAAGTCATTGTCAGTAATGTTCAGGCGCTTTGTATCTTTATGCAGGATAAAGCTTTTGTTCTGTGATTCCGCCATGCCGTCACTGCCTCAGATTCTTTAGCGCGTAACAAATAAAGTCCCGCGAAAAAGTTTCAAACACGCTAATGATAGAGATGGTCTATTTTCACCCGTTCTTATTTTACATTTTTAATCAAAAATCTAAAAATTCAAACTTTTTTGGTTAAACTTTCAAAATATCCAAAAAAAATTTTTTTTAGAAGTTTGATATTTTGAAATTTTGATCAAAAATCGAAAAATGTAAAATTTGAAAATTTTTGGATATTTTGAAATGATAAGTGTTACACGGACCAAGTTGATTGGATTATCCAGCATCATTAGACAATATTACAACATTTCTATTGGCTATTTTAGTTCTTAATGATTTAAAAAGATTAAGACGAAGTATATTTCATCCAAGGCAATGGAAATTTGTGATTTCTTTAATAATATACAAACACTCAAAACTTTATACCTGAAAAAATCTTCTCTTTGTCAAATTGTATTACATTTTGAAGTGTACATAAAGTTTTAAAATGTCTGATGGTTTGACACCATTACAGGACATATGACGCCATACTGGTATGTGCAAAAGACTAGATCATGGATTTGCCGAATTTTTAAAACACACAATAAAAAAGGGTGACCATAAGAGAAATAGGTTTAACAATTCATGAGAATTTGATATCGCTTGATAACAACTCTCATCGTTTAATTTCAATAGCCATATTATTATATATTGAAATCAAATAACAAGAGTTGTTATCCAATTCTCACTCGTTATAAAACATATAATTATTTTCTCATTATGATTTCAATATACAAAATCGATAAACTAGAAACATGAGTTTATAAAAAACAAATGCCCTCCTTAATCAGAAATGTGTGAAAAGAGTTAAGTCTTGAACCTAAAAGTAAAATTTAAAGAAGTCATTACATTTTCAAATAAAGGTTATGATCTGCCACTATTGCAATTTAAGATTGATAACTCTTTCACATCAATATGAATGGTAATATTTCTAAAATTAACCACTTACCTTGAAGTCTATATCATCACCCTGTGTCAATCTATCTCTAAGGGAACTCGGGGCTGGAGGAGTTAAGTCCACAACATATGTATCAGTTTCATTTACGACGGAATTCCCCTTTCTAAAATTAACCAGTTACCTGGAAGTCTATATCATCACCCTGTGTCAATCCATCTCCAATGTAACTCAGGGCTGGGGGAGTTAAGTCCAAAACATATGTATCAGTTTCATTTACAAAGGAATTCCCCTTTCTAAAACTAACCACCGACCTGGAAGTCTAACATCATGAACCTGAGCCAATCCATCTCCAATGTAACTGGGGGAGTTAAGTCCACAACATATGTATCAGTTTCATTAACGATGGAATTCCCCTTTCTAAAATTATCCACTTACATGTACCTCGAAGTCTATATCATGACTTTGAGTCAATCCATCTCCAAGGTAACTCAGGGCTGGAGGAGTGAAGTCCACAATCTATGTATCAGTTTGATTTACAATGGAATTCCCCTTTTTGAAATTAACCACTTACCTGAAAGTCTATATCATCACCCTGTGCCAAACCATCACCAAGGTAACTCAGGGCGGGAGGAGTTAAGTCCACAACATATGTATCAGTTTCATTTACGATGGAATTCAAAGCTCCGTTTGTTGTTTTCAGTTTAATTTTGATCCTATCTCTGTGTTTCAAGTGGAAATTAAGCCACCTAGCACTGTTGGAATCTTTACTGAATATCACCCATTCTCTAATCACCGAGAAGTCGTTCGACATGTTTCTGAAAGGAAGTTTTTACTTGAACATCACTTCCTATTAGAAATCTTTTACATTATAAAACCTGCTAATAACAGAACATTCATGCAGTTCAAATACATAACATGGCCTGAGAACATAATCAAATATGACATTCTTAAATACTAAGGAAAATGAAGATTCCAGCAATACATTGTGGTAAAGAATGTTCAATGAAATTGTAAGAATAGACAAACTTGACAACACATATACACTTACTGAGCACTAGACACCTGTACATCATACTGATTGATAGTTGACTCTGGGTCATAATAATCCTTCCATTGGGCCTCCACCTTAGCCTGACTTGATGTGAAGTCTAAATCACCAAAATTATCCTGCAATCCATCAACCACTTTCCCAGATACTGGTGCCGATAAATCAACCAGAACTAGTAATATCAATATTGAACATGCATTAAAAAGCAATTTTTATGCGGCTTTTTTTTTGTTTGTCTGAAATTGTTTCATAGCATTTTCAATACACTCAATGATATACATGATCATGGCAGTCTGAAATGTAGAAAACTGCCCTTTTTTTTAGCTATGTTTAATTCAATTGTTGATGGGTAACATAAAATCTTACAATCAATGCAAATGTACATTACAGCAGTATGATGAAGAGAAAATTGCAGTTTGTTGGTTTTGTTTGTTACAAAAGGGGGTTAACAAAATAACAATATCCTTACACAATTAAATCGTAGCAAGTCCATATTTTTCCACTTTTGAAAATAATACTATGAGACAACTCTTACAAGAAAATGTCATCGACTAAAATTGGTAAGTTTCAAAAGGGCAATAACTGTGTGTTATTGACAGACATTAAATAACTGGACTTGGATGGTGAGCATCATTATTATTTCACTGCACTCATTTCACAACTTACAACCTAACACTGAAGCAATTAGCTTAACTGTTTTACTAGTTGATCATTTTGTAGAGGTGAATACATTCTGCAATTTGGTAAAAATTTTCAGTATTTGGTAGAGTAATAGGCCAAAGACTTAAAGATATGCACTTTAAGTACCTGTGCATTTGTTTTTATTAGTAATTCAAATTACCTCCGTTTGATATTGATGAACTATTTAATTGTCTGGCTCCTCCATTATACGCCCAGACTGTTGTATAGTAGGTCTTGCCATGTTCAAGATAAGAACCTTGTTCGAGAAAAACACAGGCCTTGTGGTGCTTCCTGTCTATTTGTGTCAAGTTAGAAATGTCAGTGACATTTCCTAATGGTTCAGAACCCACACTAACCATGAAGAACGAAATTCCAGATTCAGGGTCAAAGAAACCTTGCCAGTTGGCACATATCTGTCAAAGGAAAAATGTAGATAAAAGGAGTTTTATTCAAAAACAGTCTAACCTCCCTTAACGGTCACCTCGTTTCGGTGGAATCCTGCCGCTAACAGTCACAGTAGACTTCTCTTGAGAGGGCACTTTTGATACTTCCAAAGAGTGACTTCAAAATACAGGATTGACTTTATGTAGAAAAAGCATTGAATTGACTTTTTGTTTAACATAAATATGAACTTATTTTCTTTTTACTGGTCAGTTAAATTCAAATGTAGCTTGATCTATTCGAACACTTGTTTGGGCGTAAAATCAATGTTACTATAGTGACTGTCTCTTTAATTTTCATCTTAAGTTGAACTGAGTTCGAACACATGATAGCTGCAGCAAGGATGGATCTTCTCTTAACTTAATTTTTCTAGACACGATTTTTTTTTACATTCAACAAGCACTATGTTGGTTTAGTTTTATGTTACATACCTCATTGTTGAAAATAACTAGAGGCTCTCAAGAGCCTGTGTCGATTACCTTTATCTACTGCGAATTTGGAAATCATGTAAAATAAGGTTAAAATCATAATAAATAGTATTAGATACCCCAATAATGATTGAGTCAAATTTTGTTTAATTTGACCCAGTAGTTAAATTAAAAGTAGGTCATCCCATTGTATTCTTACATAACGTACTGAAGACCCATAACCATTATTTAAAATAGTTTTCAAGTTGTGACCATTTGAAATTGGTTTTGTTGACAATTTCCCCATAAATTTCTACAGTTAACCCCTATGTTCTATTTTTAGACATGGTGGCCATTTTGATTCATGGACAGAGTCATTGGATACATTTTGTAAAACTAAAACTCTAAAGATGATTCAGGCTTAATTTGGGCTAATTTGGGCCAGTAGTTACAGAGGAGAAGATTTTTGTAAATGATTACAAAATTTTGCAAAAATATTTTGTGAATATTTAACTTTAAATGGCTATAACTCCTTATGGGGTCAATTGACAATTTTGATCATGTTGACCTATTTGTAAATCTTACTTTGCTGTACAGTTTATCTCTATCTATGTAATATTCAAGATAATAGCCAACAAGAATGTGTCCATAGTACACGGATGCCCCACTGGCATTATCATTTTCTATGTTCAGTGGACCGTGAATTTGGGGTAAAAACTCCAATTTGGCCTTAAAATTAGAAAGATCATATCATAGGGAACATGTGTACTAAGTTTAAAATTGATTGGACTTCAACGTCATCAAAAACTACCTTGACCAAAAACTTTCATCTGAAGCGGACAGACAATCGGACGAACAGACAAACGCACAAACAAACGAACGGACGCGCAGACCAAAAAACATAATGCCCATAAATGGTGCTTAATCAAAGAGCTGAAAGCTCTGAGGAAAAATGACGCCATTGTCTCTAATATTGGTATATTTTTGATGCAAGTCTTGATTTTCACATATTTTACCTACTGAATCTTAGGAGACTTTTCAGTTCATGGTAGGTAGGCTGACTGACAATAGAATAGATTTAAATTGTTTTCAATGTTTCAGGCTTTTTTATTTGTTTGTCCAGATATATATATGTATGTGTGTTTGTGAAGTGAAGATGACTACTGGTTGTTCTGTTGTACAAAGAAATAGCTCAAGACTACCTGAACAATCTACAAAATTCAAAGTAATATGTGAATTTGTTTCTTGCAATTTCATTATTCTAAGTCAAGGATACATTAACAGACTGTCCCCTTCTTTGTAGAATTATTTAACAAAATGATTATGAAGAGCCTGTACTAAGCAAGCTCTTTTACCCCACATAATCCTTATTTAAGAGATAAGTTACAGGTGACCTAGTAACATCATTATTTCTGTAACTTAAAGCATGATCCATTTCTGTGGATTTAGACAAAAGTATTATTATACTAGTAAGTAGTTTGACAATTACAGACATAGTGACACCATTAATACAACTTATTGTTGATATATATATATATATAAACTGAAAACTTAAAATGACAACATAAATTATTGCAGAATTATTTGTTTTCAAATGATTTAATGTTTGTAAGTCATTTATTTCAAATAATTAACCCGTACTAAAATGAGGAGATGTGGTATGATGGCCAATGAGATAACCGTCTGATAACTATCCACAAGAGTCCAAATAATGTGGCTGTAAGCAGTTATAAGTCATTTTACAGACCTCAGCAATGAACAAAACTTGTTGATTGTTTTCAGGCACCATAGGAAAAAGAGGAGTTAAGGATTGGTGGCTTACAAGAAAATATAAGAAATATAATAATAATATAAATAAGAAAACGAGAGAGACAAAAAAGACAGGACTAAGTCACTGGACTATATAAAAAGTGCTCCATTACTAATCCTTAGGAGCTGCTGATCTATACTTAGAAAAGAAAGATGTTGAGGACTTAGCCAGGGCGAGAAGAATTTTTAGACTTATGAACAACAGAGTAGATGCGGGTACACCACATATATAGGCCAATCTGCCCTATTTGCTGCCACTTATTAAAATTAATGCCTACGGTGGTTACCGTAGTGAACACCATGTGCATTTAATCTGTTGTTCTCTATGTACATATATGATATATGTTCAATGCAAAAAATGCAGCTGTAATGTAAATATGGTAATTTTACATCATTTTAGCCTCATTTTTTATAAGGACCTAGCTAGACCCATTACTTAGGCAAGGTGTATTATATAACTGAATGCAATAAAATTCAGTGTTCTCCCAAGGATTTTTTTATAGCGCTGTGGAAAGCGTGCAATATTAGATTGATTCACCTTAAGTTTCGTATTTGCGACTTGATGGTACATTTATTTATAACTACCATGTTGGTTATATTATAGAAAATAGACAAAGACCTGCATTTTTTAAACATGTGCCATGTGCATTAACAGAAATGCAAATAAGTGACATTTTTATTATTAAACTTTGAAAATTAAAATGCATAGATAACTTAAATAATTTGATTTCATTACCACCCATCCCCAAATGTAGCACAGTAGGTATATCTTTTTTTCTCACTTTTAGTTGTTTGACTTATAAACTAGTTATATATCCTTTACAGCTTCATAATTTACTGACACATATTTAAAGAAGGTTTTCATGACAAAATGGAATTTTTTCATTAACTTTTATTCACATCCATCAAATTACAATTTTGCAATTAAAATTGGTATATCCTTTAATATCAAAGGAAGAAATGGAATAACTCTTTCCATAAGTACTGAAATGTTATTAAAGATATGTTTAAAAGGCTAACATATTTGATCATATTAAAAGATGAATATGACAGAAATCTTTTTTTTTATTATCAAAGGTGGATTATCAATAAAAAATGTTTGCCAATTGAAACATTACAACCATCTTTAAAAGTTTTGTAATTTTATGAATATTTGATTTATTGCCACCAGAAATATTTCATAAGATTTCACAATACTGTTTTAACACTTTTGTGCACCAAAATTGTCTCCCTTACACAACTTTCTGTTTACACTAATAAAATAGAGAATGGACTAATAGCTAATTTCTCTGTGAATCATTAAATGACATTCCTAATCCAAGCCATCCACTGTTAACATTGATTTTAAAACTATATAAGTAAATAGATATTGAGAAGTGGATAGCAAATCTCGATATTTTATATTTATTTACAAGAATTTTTCGTTTAGTTATCCTGTATTCGATTTTGAAAACAGCAACGCAAGGGCTGTCACGGAATAGAAGTTCCTTCATAATATAAGTTCCAAATGGAAACAATATTCTGGAATATTATTTCCACTGGAATAAATATTATAGTAAATGTTACTAACGGAATAAATAGTATAGAACATTTGTTCCAACAGGAACAGATATTATGACATTGTTTATAACAAAGTTTCCAGTGGAACTTCTGTTAGGCGGAACAAATATACGTTGACAGCACAAGTAATCGTAAAATACGGGTTTGTTTAATATGAACCCCTGGACAACGGGATTGCTTTTTTCAAAACAATACAGGTTCAACAGTTTAGTAGTAAACTCGAAAAAAGTAATGAAATAATTGTAGATGTTTCAAAAAATGGACGAAACCACGATGTCAGAGAAAGGGTAAAACTTTCCTTGAATACTTTTGGTAAGATTAATTGACTGTCTACTCCTTTCATAAAGTTTCTGCATCTTTTTATTCTTTTTAAAGTGAAAAAATCCAGAAAGCAATAATTAAAGTCTTTTTGACAGAAAAACTTATGCAAAAGCCGCCATTTTGTTCTTTGCCCCTCTTATATCTTTTTAAACTAGATACCTTAAGAATGATTTAGACCAAGTTTGGTCTAATTTGGCCAAGTAATTTCAGAGGAGAAGATTTTTGTAATAGATTTCAAAATTTTACGAAAAATTGTGAAAATTTGTGAAAAAAAATACTTATTTTTTTGGCCAAGTAGTTTCAGAGAAGATTTTTGTTCAATTTAATGGACGAAAATGAAAGACGACGACAAACAACAAACGACAAGTGATAAGAAAAGCTCACTTGGCCCCAAAGGGCCATATGAGCTTAAAAAACATACCTACTAAACTGTTACAATTTGTATATTTCAAGAAAGACAACACACACATGACACATACATTCTAGGTAATGCATTGAAATTATTATAAAAATTTTAAAAAAGATGTGGTATGGTTTCATTGCCAAAGAGACAATATTCCACCAGACAATAAATAAATTAGAAGAAGGCAACTAATGAGTTATTGTAAGGTCGTCATAGATGAGCAAAAGCCACATTTTTTGTCTGAGGAATTAGTTTTCTGTGAAATATTTTGCAAACTTTGCAAATAAGGAATTCTTCTTTACTGTGCTGAAACCATGTTGTATCTACTTTGAATTTGTGATTTATTTATTTTTTATCACCCCTTGGTTATTTATTCTTTAACATAGATGTGTTAAAAATATACTGGTCAATATTTCAAAAAAAAATAGATGCAAAAATTAAATACCCTGCCTCCCTCATCAATTTTTTTTTTTGGAGTCATTGTGTGAAAACCATCACATTTATTTGACATGCCCTTTATATATTGAAACAATCTTTAAAGAGGTTATAAATCTTATAGGTTATTTTGTTTATAGAAGCAAACAATTATAGATAATTTACCCTGTCTGGAAACATAGCGAAAGCAAGATCAACTCCATAAGTTTGTCCATCATAAACGTTGCCTGCAATTGGAGGGGTTGGGTCCACAATGATTGGCTGATCTGCTGCTCTAATTGTTCTAAGGTCCACTGTTATTAAAATTAAACTTCATAAAACTGAGTGCTATTACAGGAAAAGTTGCATTTTGGATTTGAAACATGCATGAAATTTCTCACTTTAAAATATGCTTAATTTTTTTTAACACTGTTTAGAGGATTGTTCATTTAAAAAAAGTTCCATTCAACCCTTCAATCATTTTTCCCTTGAATTTTCATCTAAAGTGCTAATTACATGTGAGTAGAAGGTGTTTAATGATTTTGCCAATCATTTATATATCCCTCTTTTGGTTGGATAATATGATTTAAAATTCTCTAAAATCCAGGTGGTGATATAGAAGCATAATATGTTCTCATACACCTTATCGCTATTTAGAGATCTGTTCCGCTTGACCCGGTTTTGCGCCGGTTGAACTTTTGACGTCATACAACAATCACTTTTCCATTGTGGCGTCCGATATTTTCTATTGTGACGTTAAAACTTTACGGGAACCTATGCTAATTCCAGAATGGCAGACACATAGCGACAAGCTGTATTCAATCTCTGTATAAAACTTTGATAAATGGAAAACATGTTACTAATAAACTAATTAAAGTTACCATCAAATAAATTACATAAGCACAATGATATAACTCAGTTATATCAGATCAAATAAAAAATATAACGAAAAAAAACTGTGCATCCTCTTTTCAGAACGAGGTTGGTGACCTACGTATGCTTGTTTGAAAATTTTTCATAACATGAGTATCTAGTCTCAAAATGGATTCAAACTGCTGTGTACGTCCTTAATTAAAATAAGTAATGATGAGAACACAAGCCTAAAAATAGAATCTGATTACAGTATCTTAAAACTAGAGGCTCTCAAGAGCCTGTGTCGCTCACCTGTATTTACTGATGCTTTTTAAATCATGTAAAATAAGGTTAAAATCATAATTAATAGTATCTTAGATATTAGATATTATAATGATATCTAAGATAATAACAAAAAACTGCAAAATTTCTGTAAAATAACTAACTCAGGGGCAGCAACCCAACAACGGGTTGTCGGATTCGTCTGAAAATTTCAGGGCAGATAAATCTAAATCTGATGATCATTTTTGCCACCTGTCAGATTTGCTCTAAATGCTTAAGTTTCAGAGATATAAACCAAAAACTGCATTTTACCCAAAATGTTCTATTTTTAACCAAGTCGGCCATGATGGTTGGAAGGCGGGGTCATCGGACAAATTTTTAAAACTACATACCCTAATAATGGTTATGGCCAAGTATGGTTAAATTTGTCTCAGTAGTTTCAGAGAAGAAGATTTTTGTAGAAGATTAAAATAAAAATTGACTATAAAGGGCAAATAACTCCTAAAGGGGTCGACTGACAATTTTGGTCATGACGACTTATTTGTAGATCTTACTTTGCTGAACATTATTGCTGTTTATAGTTTATCTTTATCTATAATAATATTCAAGATAATAACCAAAAACTGCAAAAAGGGCAGATAGATCTTGACCTGATAAACAGTTTTACCCTTGTCAGATTTACTCTAAATGCTTTGGTTTCAGAGATATAAGCCAAAATCTACATTTTACCTCTATGTTCTATTATTAGCCATGGCGGCCATCTTGGTTGGTTGGCGGGGTCATTGGACACATTTTTTAAACTAGATACCCTAATGATGATTGTGGCCAAGTTTGGTTAAATTTGGCCCAATGGTTTCAGAGGAGAAGATTTTTGTAAAAAGCTAACGACGACGGACGACGACGACGACGACGACGACGACGGACGACGGACGCCAAGTGATGAGAAAAGCTCACTTGGCCCTTCTGGCCAGGTGAGCAAAAAAAACATCACCTACCATTATTAATAGCTTTAATTTTGACCCATATTGGTATACCAGCTGTTATGGACACAGTAAGCATAACAAAATCGCTGTAATCTTGACGTGTCCATGGAAGTTCATAACAGTCTCTTTGGGTTAGACCAAGGCAGCAATCATTATATAATATACCTGATTGGGGATCACTGAAAAACATACACATATATAAAGATTAACACATAACAATCTCTCTTGACTAGACCAAGACCGAAATCATTTTACAATATACCTGATCCGGGATCACTGCAAACATACTGTTATATAAAGATTAATAACAGTCTCTTTAGAAAAGACCAAGCCAGCAATCATTATACAATATACTGGACTCAGGATCAGTGATATATAAAGATTACTCCATACTGACTAATATATATGTAAAGATAAAACACAATAGTTAATTATGAATAGACATATACTTACTTATATTTATAGATAAGCAATATTATCAAAATATGCATAATTAATAATATATTGAGGATTCTTGATTATGCATGGAGTACTATTTTTTGTGAATTTCTTTCGTATAGATGAACCATAAATTCAATTGTTCAAGAAGTAAAATTCCTGATATGCTCGTATGGAGAATTTTTGAAAAGTTATCCACGACAACTGGACACAGATTAATTCGTAACATAAACAGAATTTGTTCATATTTTAAGTCCTTATTTTGAACTGAATGTATGAAAGAGTGGTTGTACATATGTATATTACGTATATAAAGGTCTGTGCTATATGCATTTTCAGTACATAGAAGACATTTACAGTAGCATGTCTTTATCCTGGAACCCCAAGGATGACTGAGGTATAGAAATATGGTTTTCTTCCGACCCGCAGTAAATCTTAATTGCAAAATTGGGCATCTGGCTGTGCTGGATGAATAAGTATACAGCCACAACTGATCAGAATAGGTATGAAGCGGAGGCCACTCCAGTTATGCTTCAGTGATTCCCTATATCATCATATAATCAACCAAATTGTTCCCACAAAAAAGGGGGCCTGCCCCCACCCCCCTGGATCCGCCTCTGCGTCCTGAACATACTTGTAAAATTTGCCTCTTGACATGAAAAAAACTCTCCATAAATCAATCATACTAGCTCATGAATGATAAGAGATGAAGAAAGCAACAAGACAGCAACGAAACCACAAACAAATTATAAAAATAATCATTATAAACACAAATCTAGGCGCATATCAGATTTATTATAAGCATAATTTGTTTTTCATATTTACTTTAAACTCAAAAGAAAGACACACAGCATTGCTTCAAGTTATGATTTTTATGCGTAATTTATCATTACTGCCTGAAATCTGGAAATCTGAAATGTAGAGGGTTTCACGTGGAAAGGTGGATTAAAATTGATTTTCGGAGATTTTATCATATAACAAAAAAAGCAGAAACCCCTATTTGGCAAATTCATATCGTCAAATAGAACACGGAAGTTAACAAATTCAAAATGTTTCAAATTTCGGGTTTTTTTTCAAACTAGTTAAGTTTCACATATTTTCCTGTGCAAAACAAGCAAGCTTTTCATTTACAATTATCATACGCTATAAAAGTACATTAGTTTTTGCACCATTTTGGCTCATTTTGGGTTTTACATGTGCTGCGGTAGAAATATGACTAAGTTATTAAGTGTGTTTGTAAGGCAAATTTGAATTTTGGCAGACAAAATGTATATAATCATAATAATCATGATTATCATGCAAACGCTTTGCTCAAACATGAAAATGAAAACTCATTTCTACCACACATATATTTTAAATAATAAATGTTTTTATGTGTATTAATTCATTAATATGAATGAAGAATGTGTCATTTGGATTATAAGCCTGGTACCTTTGATAACTATTGGACACAGATGATGCCCCCGCTTGCAAATCACGTTATAAAGGAAAATAACTCAAGAACGGTTAAAGTGATGCCACCCAAATACGAACTTGATCTGCATTTTGTGGTTATTAGCAGTGTGTATAAGTTTCTTTACATTTGGTTGAGCCCAACTAACGGTGGAGAATGGAAACCAATTTCAAAACCTCCTTACTTACAGACATACAGAAGGACAAAGGAAACAATCAATGCCCCCTCCATTGCAGCGGGGGCATAAAAATCCAACACAGTCCCTACCAATTGCACTTGAGGGTGGGCATTACGTAGAAAACAAACATATGGTAGGTAAGGAAAAATATATGGTAAGTTATACCAATACGAAATATGTACAAGGATTCCTATTAGATTATAATAGGAATCTGACTAGAATGATGATGGAGTCTAAGATTTCTGTTACTTCTTAGGCTTACTAGGAAAATTTGAAGTTTCAAAAATGGAATTTTCATTTTCCTACTACAAATTACTGCTATAAGGTTTGACAGTATTAATTTATTCCTACCACAATTTTTTTCTATCAGGAATCCTTCTTATTGTAGCAGGATTATTATCTGAGCTGGAATTGATTTGTATTTAATTATCATAAACTGGATTCAAGATTGATAGTTATAGTCATAAAATCAATAAAAAAATAATTAAATATTTTCTATGATGGTATGATACAAAACCTTTAACGGGAGGGATTGTACTTGATTTTCATATGATTAAGAAATAATCTTTCAATCAGTTTAATTGAGGTCTAGAGCTGGCATGTCAGTAACTGCTAGTAGTCCTGTGTTCATTTATGTATCCTTGTCGTTTTGCTTGGTTTCTTTTGTTACCTATTCTGACATCGAACTCGGACTTCTTTTAAACTGAGTTTAACTAAGCGTATTACTATGTGTTTCTTTATTCTACATTGGCTAGAGGTATAGGGGAGGGTTGAGATCTCACAAAACATGTTTAACCCCGCCGCATTTTTGAGCCTGTCCGAAGTCAGGAGCCCCTGGCCTTTGTAAGTCTTGTATGTTTTTTAAATTAAGTTCATTTACATGTTTTGGAGTTTAGTGTGACGTCCAATTTTACTGAACTAGTACACAATTTTATTTAGGGGCCATCTGAGGACCACCTTCGGGTACGGGATTTTCTCGCTGCGTTGAAGACCAATTTGTGGCCTTCAGCTGTTGTCTGTTCTATGGTCGGGTTGTTGTCTCTTTGACATATTTCCAATTTCCATTCTCAATTTTATGACTGTACCAATTTTAATAACCTTCGGTATATTAACCATTCTAATATGACGTCCTATTATCGTCTACCAGTATAATCACAATATATCTACCTTTAGCGCAAACGCCGTAATACACGAAAACGGCTGTTCCGCCTTACGACCAACTTATTTATACTACCAGATATTCTCAATTTTCTACATCAAAACCCCAAGTTTACGTAGGCCAAGATTCAGATACAATATATCTATCTCTATTCTACAGCAAATCAGTCCATTTCAATTTATTTTTCATAAAAAGTTCATAGAACGAAAATTCCGCGAAATGATGTTATTGTCTTGGCATGGCAACGAAATAAGGTGACGTCACAAGAATGTTTTCGTAAACAAAAAAGTTGAATGTAAATACCGGGCGTTTTAAAGCTTCTTGTACGCCTCAGAACGAATAAAATTACATTGGAAGAAAATATATAAGTGAAAAATGCGATTAAAAAAAATAATCATTGAATTATATAAAATTACTAATATCATCAAAATTGGGTAAAACGGAACAGCCAAAACAATATCGTATGTATAGGGCTTTCACTGTTAACAAAATTACCGAATCTGTCCTATCAGAATCAAAATAGTTCATTGCAGTCGTAATTTTTTTTTTCATTTAACCATGGGTTGGGCATTTATATTCGTATTTTACACCTCGGTAACGCTCAGGGTAAAATAATCGATTATAAATGCCCAACCCATGGTTAAATGAAAACAAATCTACGGCTGCCATGAATTATTTCTTAATTAATGACAAAGACTATCATCTGCGGACTTCATATATTGAAGTATTGGTGGCCATTTTGAAAACATGAATTTCCAATATATCATTATTCGATATTCATATTAAGATGCTACTTGCATTTATATTAATGTTTTTCTGCATTTACAATTACCTTTGCAAATCATTGTTATATGACTTGTTATTTATGTTGGATGTTCAACAAGTGGTCAAATATGCATGCATAAGTTGGCAAAATAAAAGTATATATAATACATAATTTTATGTACTTACAGATTTGCAAAATTAACTTTTTACCACAGAAAATTACGAGTATACAATACAATTTATACCCACTCTACGTCGAAAAGGGAAAAACACGTAAGTTTTGAAAACACTGGAGCATAAAAAATACAATGAACAAATAGACTGGAAAACGCCAAGAGAGGACACTTGAGGATTTACAATGCCAAGCAGATACCAAAAGAGCTGACATAGACATTTGAGCTGGTAATCAGTCCTTTGTTGCAAGCAAACAAAGATGTTGCGCATTTAATTAGTTTCTCACATCACTCAACTTGGAACAGTTGATTTAAGGCCATGGGATTTGAAAAACACTTCAGAATCCCAAGGAAAAATGTACTTATCCTGTCAAAACAAATGTTCAGATCTCAATATATTTTGTCAGGAAAAAGGAAAATATACTTTTAAAGTTGAAGATGAGTCACTGATTGAAAATACCAGTAAAATAACCAGCCACACAGTAGTAATGAATCAACAAGAACAATGACTGCAGGAAGTTTCTTTTTGTGGTGAGGTATCTGACCATCTTCATGAAGCATACACATTTCTGATCGACAAAGGAGTACGTGAACGGGTACTTGAACTACAAATCATTGTTTCGTAGATAAACTCAGTCCTGGCGATTAAATATCACAGGAGCCAATATCATGATAAATGTTTGTTAAAACTGCACAACAAGGCGATAAGACAGAATCCAAAGACACACAAATGTTGTCAGGAATCTGCTTTCCATGGAATTGTGCCTTCCAAATTGTTAAAATACATCGACGGCTCACAGTCTGGACCATCATCTGTTCTAACCTTTGAGCTGGCTGATATTAGTAAATTATACAGTGAACGCCTGAAGCAATTCGGGAATTTTCTTTGAAGGAATGATTAATTCAACATTTCTGAAAAAATGAATAGTAACTGCCATATAAAAAATGAAAGCACACATGAAAGGTAGCTAAATGCTCTCCTGATTTTTAACGAATATGTTTGGGACTCTCTG